AAATAGGGGTTTAGTGTTGGAGTTGCTTGCTTGTTTCTTGTAGCATAAGAGCTGTACTCGCTTATATTATGGTCTTGAATTTTGTCTTTAAAAGTTTCTACTTTTATTTCCTCCTGTTCTTAACTTTACATCATTATTATATTATTATTTAATGTTGATTCATTTTCTACATTAGTAGTGATCTCTATTGAAATGGGTAGTGTTTTTGTTGACTTTTCTTTGATTATGTCCAGGTATCTATCTTCTATATAGGATTGATATAGATCCTCTTCTTTTTCCTTTTCTTCATGCCAAAGAAAGGTAATATGTTGTATAAGGATTTGTTCCTTATAAAATGTTATATTATCTATTCCTAGAATTTTAGCAATAAGCTGTCCAGTATAATATATGTTTTTGAAGCATCTGTTATAATGCCATTATAATTGGTCATACCTTTTTGTTTGGCAATTTGTTACATAGCCCATAGTTTGCCTGTTTCATTATATTTTTTTGTCAATTGAACTAGTATGTCAATAATATTGTCTTCTCTATTGTTTACTATCTGAAGTATCTACTTTGCTTTATTCATAATAGGATATATATATAGATTGATATTATTGTCATATAGTTGTATTATATTATAAATAGTTACATAAGCAAATTAATATGTATCCTTAGTGCTATTTTAGTAATTGTTGATATGCTTTTATATGTAATACTTGTTGTTTTGACTATAACCTTGTTTTTGTATGTATCTTAATCTTGTTTTGATTAAGTATATGTTATTTCTCCTTTTTTGCTTAGGTTGTTTATCTGTTTATACTAACACTCTGTTTATGTTGATCGCTTTTTGTTGTAATAGTTGTGTTTAATGATCTTACCAATTTAAGTCATACTTGTTGTGCTGTTGTAATGAACTTTTGTCAAACTTATTTTGACAACAGCTTTATACATGTGTATGTATTTGCGCTATTCTGGTGATGGTTTTGGTGTGCATGGAGATAAGGTATGTATATTAGGCTGTTTAGACCTTGGAAACTTTAATGTTCTTCTGGGTCTTAAAGAATTTGAGGTTTGCTTAATTTATTGAGCAAACCTATTTGCTTTAGAATTCCATGTAGTGTTAAGAAAGGTGTTAATCTGCATTGGCCTGGCTACAAGCTCTGTGAAGTTGATATTGGCTTTCCCTTTCTGACTGTGAATCAGTTTATATTAACCTATTTCTTTCTTTTTAACAAAAAAAATATAGTCAAGATTATGTTTTATGTTATGTTTTCCTCAGGAATTACTAGACTAGAGCTATGTACGAAGTGTTGTTTTCTATGCTAAGATATTTACTATATATTGATTTATCTAAAAAGAAAATTTCTAAGAATCTGAGAAATTTGCGGAAAGAGTTTTTAGTTTCTTTATATTTTATTTAATATATGATTTACTATATGTATTTTTTTAAGTAATAATAAGTCAAAAAATTTTTAAAAAAGTTTAAAACATAAGAAAAAAAAATAGTTTACTTAATATTATTGAAATACTTATTAGTTAAATATTATAAATATTCAAAAATATATCAGTAAAGGATTTTTCTTTCCACTGATCATCTAATCATATACAAAAAAGATATTTGCAAGAAATTTTATACTTTTGCATTAATATAGTCTTACTACTTTCTTTAAATCAACTTGAAAGAAACTTCAAGAGTTATTCTTATACCCTCTTCCTCTTGTTTTTACTTCTCTTCAAGTAAAAACTTGACTGCAAGTAATCAAAAAATCAAGCAACATTCTTTTTACCAATGACAAGAAAGTTCTAAAAGAAAGAAGAACTAATGTACAGTCATCTCATACTATAGAGAAACAATATAGAGTGTTATTTGTGACAAGAGACTCCTCTTCCACTCTCTTTGTCATTGTTTGCACTCTAATAGTACTCGTTTATAGGTTTTTTTGAAGAATTTTGCCTATATCAGTTTGATTTTAAATTTTGAGTAGCACAAAGTTTCTTACACCATTATTGGACAAAAATTTTCACATTAGTAAAAGATATAAATAAGTTTTCATTTGTCATATTACATGTTTGAATGCATTTCCTCAGTATCCATAAGAATTTGGGGTTTACTATAAGTCATTGGGTTTGATGTGTGTAGATACAGAATACAAAACCTTTTATATTACAGATAATATAGAAAGAAAAGAAGCTGATCAGGACACATTGGACAAACAGTATTCTTTTCTTTTCTCCCTTCCTCCTTTAGCAACATATCATAAGAAATATAAAGATCAGTATCTTTTTGGGAGGTTTTGATATATCCAGTCTCTTATTGAAATTAAATTTCTCACAAAGTCACAATACCAAGTCCATTTGAATAAGATTCGAATATATTTACAGTATATAAAAATTTTTTTTCTAAGTGCTAGTAGAATTAAGACTTCATATGAGAAATCCTCAACATCAGTGGTGCTAGGTAACTCAGGTGAATTCTTGACACATTAGCCCCCTTTCATGGGATAACAATAAGCCACCTGATAATTTTAGGTTCTAGGAAGTGTCATGACATAGTGAGAATTTAATATAATATGAATTGTCACATCTCCTCATTATTTTTAAAGTTTTGTTTTTGTAAGTAGAAAATCTACACTAGATGATAATGTAATTATCTTATTCTAATTGAGTGAGATATAAATAGTTAGCTTTTTATACTATTTATTGATCTGTAAATCCTTAGACAGTATGAGTAATTATTTATCCTGATTGTTTCTAGACTTTCTCCTTATCTAAATAAAGCCCTTATCGCCACAATGCAGGAATGAGCTAGCATTTAAAAAAAAAAAAAATGTCACTGTAAGTATTAAAAAGAGTTAAAATTTATTATCTAATAATTTGCTTTTTTTTATTATTATGATATTAGAAAAAAAAATCTTAATATTTTCAATATATATTTTTATTAAATTTACTAAATCCTATATTATTTTTCTTAAAATATTATTATCTATAAAAATTGAGCTATTATTAAATGAATATATTATAATATAATATATTCTTTAATTATTAAAATTTTTTGACTATATATTAATTTGTAATTAAATACAAATAATCTTAAGATCTCTTTAATTTTCTAAGTTTTATATTAATTAAGAATAGATAAAATATTTTTAAATAAGTATTATTTTTGTTTTATATTCTCTTAAACTTTGTTTTCATTTATTTTTTTAATTGAAATATATTTCTTGTTCTTTTACTTTATCAATAATATAGAAAATAATAATAAATTTATTTATTTATATTTAAATCTATAATTTATAATGGATTTTGATTTTTTATAAATATAGAAAAATTATATTTTGATATATAAAATAATTAATAGAACTTATTTATATCTTTTTATTGACATGTGAGAGATTAGTTTAATCATTGTGTAAAAAACTTTGCATTATTTAAAATTTAAAATCAAACTGAGATAGATAAAATTTTTCAAAAAAATTAAAAATGATTGCTATTAGAGTACAATATAAGATAACAAGAAATAAATATAAGTTTTTTATTTTTTTTTTATTAAACTTTGTAGTGCTTCTTTATAATATAAGATAATAGTATACCAGTTTTCTTTTTTTAGAAATTTTTTGTTATTAATAAAAAGAATATTATTTGATTTTAAAAATCATTAATAATTAAATAAAGAAAAATATAAACAAGAAAGAAAAATAAATATGACTGTTAAAATTATTTTTCAATTTAGTTTAAGGAAAATAGTAAGACTTTCTTAGCAAAAAAATGGAAAAATTTTTCTTGTGAATATTTTTTATATAAAATTAATGGATTAAAATCAATATTTTATTATTATTAATTATTATATTTTTAATAATAATTAATAAGATCAATTAATGACAAAATTACTATATACAATATATAGTAAGATCAACAATTCTATCAGATGTATAATTCAAATCATGAAAAAAGTAAAATATTATTCTTTAAATTATATCTAAAGAATATTAAACTTCAATAATAGATAAGTTAATATATAGTATAAAAATTATTTAAATTATAAATATTTTTTAATGCACAATAAAAGACAAGCCATGTCAATCTGATAGTGAGTTAAAAAATAGTGAGTTGAAAAAAGATAAGTTTTGAAATAAATTTATTCAGTAAAAAATTTTATTATTGTATGCTAAAACATTTTTTTTAGTAATAAATTAATTAAAAGTTTATATTATATTAGAATGTAAAACAAATAAGCTATAATATACTGTATATAATGCGCATACAGTATATAACCAATATATAATATCCCTAAAAAAGGACGTACCCGGCCGGGCCTTGTGTCGATCTCTGGTTGCATCGTGTGATCAAAGGCTCGCCGCCTTGATTGATTACAAAAGCGTTCATATGACAATTTCTGATCTTATGAAAAATATTTGCTGCGAGATAATTTAAAAAAGATCTTAGATAAGAACTTTAAAAATTGATGAATTCACTTAGCAGCATTGTGTGATATAAATCACTCTCTATATAATCCCTGTCATTTACGTATTCAAACAACCGGTAAGTCGCCATACCCGTTTTATCTTTCTTTGAGTGCGTATACTTCATCCTTATTCTTGATTTTTGCGGAATTGGAAAGATCATATTCTGCATTATCTGTTTTGTTCCGGATGTCATAATCTTCCGTCGTTATTCTACACCCATCAAGACAACTTCACCCCGAATCTTCACTAATTCCATTGTTCTTTAGCCAATTGTTCACCCAATAACCATCATCCAAGTATACCATGGAGGTCCCAATCATTAGTCGTCTGACAATTGCGGATTACCAAGCATTATTTATCGGTTTGCTATTCCTATTCCTTGAGAGTTTACTGAGATTCGTCACTTTTTGTTTACCCCGGTCCGGCGTGCAATATTTCAGGAATGAAAGCCAAAGGTAAGGTACACTTTATCGATCGATGACACTGCAGGCAATAGCCTGGCAGGTTAAGTAAATAGCACGCAATGATTCGCGTTAATTTGGTAGATTTTTTTCGATGATTTATAAGGACGAACGTACACATCATGTCAAGTTACTCCAACACGCCGAAAATTTTAGAGAATTGGTGAAGTATTGGTAATAATCCATAATGATTTCTTATACAGTACAATATGTGCGCATATACAGTATATATATATATGCATATTTCTTTGAATTCACTGTTTGACCTCTGAAATGATATTTATTGCTCAGGGATTACCCGGTGGAAGAGCATATAGTAAGGACTAGGGATAGTTATCTATTGGGCATCCAGAGGATTCCACATGGGCGCATCATTCCTGACGGCAATAAGAATAGTCATTTCTCCTCTCATCGAGCAAGTCAGGACAGCATCAGCAGCCTTTATTACGAGGATTACGGATGGCCACCAGCTCAAAATTTAGAGGATGTGGAGTCTGTGTTTAGACGATGCGGAATCCCTTTGATGGCAATTCGACACTCTCCTGAAGACGAAGAAGTCATTGCTAGCGGTAGTAATACTGGGAGGAGCACGAAACCTGACGCATCGAAGCGTGAACGGTCAAGGTCCTATGACGATTCAAAAAGTTCAAAACCACTTTTCCCAGGCGGCCATAAGAAAAATAAGTCTAAAAAAACGCATATTACCAAACCACCAGAATTTTCTGATACGCACGGGGAGGAGAGGGCACCCAGCTCGAGATCTTCAACGCGACAAAAAACAAGGCATGCTAAACCTGTAGTGTTGTTATACCACGGGTTACTGACGTGCAGCGAGATTTGGGTCTGTAATTACGAGTACGAGAATAGATTGACCTGTTTGCTGGCTGATGCTGGGCAAGTAGTGTATAATTAATGTTCTTGACAAGTCTTGACGCCTGTTCCTGAAAGCCGTGCCTCTGAACGCATCGTTTATTCATTGTAGGTATGACGTGTGGTTTGGCAACTCACGAGGAAACAAATATTCAATGAAGCATTCAAAATATGATCCTAGCGAAAAAAGATTCTGGGAATTCTCATTAGACGAACTTGCGATATACGATTTGCCTGATACTATTGATGTGAGCATACAGTATATGTGGGACCACATGCTATTATGAACATCTGATTTAATACTTTTTAGACTTTTCATATTCCAAAAAGTATTTTTACACTTTACTGATGAGACGTCGTGATTTCAGTACATACTAGAAACAACGGGGGCCCCATCACTCACATACATTGGCTTCTCTCAGGGATCAGCTCTATGTTTTGCCGCGTTGTCGATTAACCCGAAGATGAATGAGAAAATTAACTTATTCATTGCTTTGGCCCCTGCCACGAGCCCAAGAGGTAACAAATCTATCTATCTATCTATCTATATTCATTTATTTATTTATTATAATTTCCTTCATTAAATCTCATCACGCACATCAGGCCTCAGAAGCGCGATATGTAATGCCTTAATAAAATCCTCTCCAAATATATTCTACCTGTTTTTTGGTAGAAAAGCGATGCTCTCTATGGTATTATTCTGGAAAAAGGTTTTATCGCCGCCAATATTTACAAAGATTGTGGATACTGCATTGAAGTTCCTATTTGATTGGAATTGCAATAATATTTCCGAAACGCAAAAGGTCATAGGGTATTACCATTTGTTCAGTTGCAGCAGTGTTAAAAGTATCGTGGTGAGCATATAGCTTCTTGAAATTTGCGGACATGACTAATAAATTTCTACTTCTCATCTTTGGTGACATTCAAGATTAACGCCTTTTAATCAAATTATAGCATTGGTTCCAAATAATTAAATCACGTACATTCCAGATGTATGACGAACTGCCACCGTTCTCAGGGTTTGGACATGTGTGCCAACAATTCCCTACGCAACAGATCACCACGCCGATTGCGATATTCCATGGTGGAAGGGATAGTCTAGGTGATATGTCGACATTACTAAAGCAAATACCCACGCCGGTACTCGTGAGAGAGATTATTAATTATGAACATTTAGGTGAGCATTCACGCAAAGTTATACGGGATCGTCATTCATTGGGAGCTTAACTTTAATCATTTTTGCATCCATTGCATTAAAATAGATTTTATCTGGGCGTCAGACTTGGGCATCAGTGTGTATCCCGACATATTTGACTTGATAATCCAACATACTCATCCCAGTTTCCGTGAAGTTGCGTATCGTCGCGATGAAGGCGAGGTATTGTTTAATTTCAATGATAGCGATGACGATAACAAGAATGATGAAGGAAAAAAGGATGATGACGGAGATGCGGATGATGATGACAGTGAGCATAATCAACGACTTCTTGACAACGATTCCGTGTACAGCGATTTACAGCCTGAAGAGATGCACTTTAGTGAGATAAGGCACGGCGAGTTGCAACAGAGCAGCGCCAGTGACGACGAATTAAGAAGACAAGAATTCATCATCCGAGGTCATCCACATAATGGAGATGAAGAATCGTTGACACATAGTGAACCAGAATTTGTGACGATGGTAGGGGCTAGTGAGGATGATGACCACCGAAGAAGTCTACAAGAGATTATCGAGGATAGTAGTGAGAATGACGATTTTGCAATGAGTTAGGCAAGATTATGTGAAAATAATTGTTGGGGTTTAGAACGAAGAAAGGGTGTATTTCAATATTACAAATGTATTTTGATGCGCGCGCTTAGATTAAAATAAAGGCTTGCCTTCGCAGACCTTTTTATTATTATTGTTGTTGTTAAATTTGTGCATATCTCGTGAATTTGAGGCTTTCTATGTTCCACGTTTTATTCGTATTAAGCATACAGATATATGCGTATTTAAAAAAAATAATAATAATAATCACTTTGCTTTTCAAAGAATGATTTCCGCAAAAGTTTGTTCATCTGAGGTGATCACAGAAATAAGAAAAAAACTAGTCCTCCCGTCTGGTTTTGTATAATAAAACCGTAGAGGTTTTAAGCTCGGGAGGCAGCATTATAAATATATAGTCTGGCGCATACAGCATATACTGTATATATAAAAAAACAATAACTAAAAAAATTTTGCCGGCTAACGCATAGGAAATGTAAATGGGGAGTGAGTGACTCGAACACCCAACCTTCCGCTCTGGAGGCGGACGCGCTGCCATTGCGCCAACCCCCCAAATTTATAGGTAAACTTAATTTTTATTATTATCTATAGTTTAAATGCGCACACTTCATACCGTGAATTCTGAACTCTTCTGCGGAGGTGCAATGCTATCAATATGCATTTATTAGCTTGATTTTCAAAATATCATTCATTAACAAAGCTACATCAAAAGAAAGTGTAAGATATAGGGAAAAGGCGTGATAATGAATTTGTAAATTGGAATTCGTTCAAATATCACGATTAAGCTTCTTTCATCCTCCTTTTAGTTTATTATCGCGGAAATTTCCCTGTGTTCACTTTTTAATATATCAAAGATTAACGCAATTTTTAAATTCAATTTCTATTTAGCAAAGCAGTTCATTCCACGATCAACATTCGGTAAATAGACCCCCTAACTACTCCTTGCTCGTGACACTCCTTATATATAAGGGTTTACAAACAAATTTTATGGAATGAACTTTCGCGTGTGAATAATTCTACGAAATACCTTGAAGATAGTGCGAAAAAAAAAAAAAACCTAAAAAAAAAATTTCGCAATTATGACAACTCCATTGAAGACTCCTATACCAAAATCCACCAATCCTTCAAAAGAAAAGAAAAATCGTGACGCCAACCCTATGTTCACACAATCCGTTGCATCCGTTCCTTCATCTCCACTTTCTCCATCCTCTCTAAATCTTCCGCCTGATCCTAAAAATTGGACTTCCACACACGTCGCAACTTACCTTCACCAGTGTTTACGATTACATCCTCCACCATTCATCGCGGAATTAATGCAATTTATTCAATCGGACGCCTCACTAACTGGCAGAAAATTTTTACGACTCAAAGATGACCAGTTGAGAAATTCAGGCTACGAGGATCAATGGATAGAATCTGTTATGCTCGGTGTGAAGTCTTTGAGAAGAAATCAACTGAAAGAAAAAATATTGCTAAGAAATGACAAATTTTTTGAAGGAGAGTTTGAAGAATTGGAGGAATGTGACATCGAGATAGGAGAGAACGATAATGAAGGTAACGTTTTAAATATTCTTGTAGATAAATATTATATTCTGCCTCTGAATAAATTACAATTATCATTTAGACGATTCTTTCTCGTCCTTGTCAAACCCGAACCCTATTAATTTTAATGCATCGGAAACCTTCACAAAATTTCCTGAACCTAAACCAATTGAGGAAGCCAGTGGCATAGCAGAATTGTCGCATGATGATATTTACAAATGGATTAAAAAAGAAATTCTAGGATACGAGACCTTCGGGAGCGGATTTGCACGGGGCTTTATGCTGGGAGGTGCCATTGTGTGGGCGTTTATGAAAATCAGCAAAAGATAAATCACACCATGCGAACATGATCCATAGTCACTCTATCATATGCATTCAAAATGACCTGTAATATGCAAACCAAACCTAATTGTACTATTTTTTTTTTTTCTTTTTTTTTTTTTTTTTACTCATATCTTTCATAATGTATATACTGTATATTCAAAAATATGTTTAATCAAATCATCATTCTTTGCTTTTCTTTCGACATGAATTGCAAGGTTACATTAACCCGATCTGAATCGGCGCGACACATCAGCTCTTTAAATGAGATGTATTTGTGTAATGGTTTTCAAATTTTAAAAGACCCTAAGCTCGTAAGGTATATATTACGGGTAACCTAATACTACCTAAAGTTATCATGATTTATTTTGCATTTGAAATTTTCAAAAGATAAAATGTCGGTCATTCGTTTTTTTTTTTTTTTTTTGCCTCGATTTAGGAAAGATGAACCGGCCACAGGTATAGATTTTGTCTCTTCATTTTCATTAATAATCTGCACTGGATAGACGTCCGATTCCGATACTTTATATGAAAGAATTTTCTATAAATATTTTTGTACTAATTTAAAAGTAGTGGATCGCTGGTGAAAATGTTTGAGCGAAAGGATAGCATTGCAATGCTACGTATTATGCTAGTGATCTTTTTATTGACTGACGATCCATCATTGCACTCTATATGTATGTTTTATATGATATTTAATTAGTCGCGTTTATGTCGTTGAAAGCAAGAAGACGAGGAGCGAGAGTATAAAAAGATGTGCACTACCGTCTTTTGGCTCACCTGCTTCGTCGATGCATTGTTTTTTCTGCAGAACTAAGGTCTCACCCTTCTGATAAACAGAAAAGATGACCGATTCAATTTATTTACTAATTGAAACAGAGCAAAGAAAAGCTTGTTATTAATTGTTATGATTGAAGCTGTTGAATTTCTGAAAGCAATATTATGCAGCTGAATTTTAATAATTTTACCTGGTCAAATAATTTTGGTCAATATTAAAAAATCAGTTAATTGTTAATTTTAATCCCAATTCATCTGTGAAACTAGTGCATTCTTTGATTTTACAAAAAAGATGTATTTATAAAAATTTATTCCATCCATCCATCCATCCATCCATTTATTTATTTATTAATTTAAATTATACTCGGACCATCAGTGCTCAATTGCAGATTAAACATTTTAATGAACCATACAGTATATATCAAAGATAGGACTTACAAATAATGTACATATAACTAGAAGCTAATGAAAGTGAGTGATACACAATCTACATTTGCTAGGAATATAAAATTTGTCATTTTTCAACGTAATCTATGTCGCATTATAATTTACCTAACATCTATATTAATGTCTTATTAAGCATACCTCCTCCTCCAAACACACGCATCGTTTGCTACGTAAATTCCTGGCACTTTTCTATACCATTTCTTACCAAAATTGGTGTCTATCACCTGCGCCAATATTGCGCAAATTTATGAATAGTTTCAATGACTTGTGGAAATAGTGCGCTAACCGAGTCATTAATTAGATTTTGGAAATATTTTATGGCTTCTTCTTCGGTTAAATCTAATCTAAACTTTTCTTGCACCTATACAATCATAAGCATATGTACGTCAGACTAATTAACATTTTATTAAAAAAAAAAAATTAAATAAATAAACTTCTCACCTTCCACACCGCCTTATCCGGTTCAATCTTAATATCAGGAACATTAGCGTCAACCATCAAGGCAAACAAATTAAGTATCAGGTTTGCACTCTTGCGAAGGATGTTAAATGCTATATAGCAGTAACTCTTAAACTTTTGGTAATGAATGGAATTCGCCCCGCCCATCGCTTCCACCATTTCTTTGCACAATTTCATCGGTGGTGGAAATGGCTTTGGATCTCGTCCGAGGATAAATCCAAAGTCTACATGAAACAAGTTGCCTATGTTGTCATGTGTTAACAAATCAGGTAAGTTCTCGAGTATTTTATGTTTGAGATATAATAAAATAATGAAAAAATTACCATCCGGAGAAAGTAACAAATTATCCAAATGACGATCTCCAACACCCAATAAGTAGGTAATAACGCAATAACCGGCTGTATAACCGAAATGCGCGTATCCACTTTAGTACACATAATCGAGGTTCACCCGTATTCAGTGATAATTTTACTGCAAAAAGCACGTACCACAACTTTTTACATACGTATCCATTACGGCAGCGCTAACACCGTACGTTCCAACGGCCTTCTCGTCCGGATGATGCGCTTTTAGGAATTGCAACAGACTGCCATTAAAGTCACTTAAAACATTGGCCAATGATGAAGATGTAATAAATTGAACTAAGCCATGATCCGGTCCGGTAGCAAGAACCTTATAAGGTGTTAATTTCAAATCCAGGTTCTCCTTTCGTAGCAGTTTATCCATGAGAGTAATGATTTGTATGACAAGTTGATCCTGCCTAAGATCATCTCCGGTTTTAAATATTACCTAAAATGAGCAAAACTTTTTTCAGAAAACAACTTTCGAGCAGAAAATTAGTTCGAAATTTATTCCTACTTGATACTCGCCACCGTCCACCAATGAAAAGGTCAACCTTAATGGGAACAAATTGCTCTTAAACACCGTAGTTTTCTCTAACGTACAAATTGAATCAGTATGAATTATCAAAAACAGAATTTATCAGTAACTACAAAGGATCAACCTGGAATTATGCCCGTAACTTGAATACGGGCGTCGAGCGGTAAAGGCAAAGGATGAAATTGCAATAACCCATTCTTAGGATCTGATATCTTGGCTCGAAGCTTTTCAATCTAATAAAAAAAAAAAAGGAGTTTCTTTAACATCGTCAACAATGGTAACAACTGGAATGCTAATGAATTACCTTTTTTGGTCTCGCGTCTTTCATCATACGTATCTCCCTAGAGATTTCCGAGAGCATGGCGACCAACTCCCCTTGTCGACGAAGTATTTCTCGCTGGTGATACCCTGATGGAGTCTGAAGTTTAATGTTAAAACAATATAGTCACTGGGGAGACGTATCACAAAAAAAAAAAATTCTTTTATTCACCTCCATCATGGCCTTCAAGTATTGATAAACCACTTTACCATACATCTTGCCAACCGCTTTGTCTTCACACTCAACCATAAGGTACCTGTTAAAAAGTAAAATTTTCCCTTAGTGATGATTTTGAAAAATTCATTCGAAGCTCTCAAGGGAGATGTTTCACCTTACCAGTGAAAATTATTTCCTAAAATCTGGTTCTTCATAGCTCTTTCGATCAAAAATTCGGCCAAGCTTGAACTAGATCGGTCACTTATATTTTCAAATTTTAAGGCTTGAACAAGTTGTAAAAGATATAGCTGAAGCTCCTGATCATTGCAAGAAAAAGAAAGCAGGAAAAAAAAATTCTTAGTCACATGATAGATAACAGTTTTAAGTGAAATAAATAAAATAAACATGAACCTCATCGTCTGCTTTTCTTAGTTGACCGACAGCGTATCCTCGAACAGAACGGTTTTCAAAACTGGCGCTCAACAATTCAAGCGCATCATCCAGATCGATGTCTGCCCATTTGGGCAGCAGCTCAACAGCCTGCTTCACTTCGGTTGGATCAGTCCACACGACGCACTTTAAGAATTTAGTAAGCGCCTAAAGAAAAAAATTTTTAGTGTGCTGTGCAAAGCTAATGCAAAAGATTGAGCATAGTCGGTCGATAATTCATTCTCATACTTTCTTGTCACGTGTTAAATAAAACCTAAATTTCCATAGTAAATCTTTTTCTTCTGAAGTCAGATGTTGCGTCGGTGGATATTTCAAGATTCCCTTGATATTATGAAAACCAAATCAACCAATAATAAAAATAATCAAAACTTAATCACGATAGGTATCAAATAACTCACATTTAATTCGTCCCGAGTCTTTGCGTCTGGTTTCAGATCGCGATCCAAAGCTCCGTTACGATGACTTCTCACCATACGCCTGTGTTTTGCTTCCACCGGATTTTCCCTGTTAATTTCAGGATCAACAATAAATATTATGCCAGAATCGCCCACAGGTGTAAGCACGTTAGAATGTGTTCCATTGATAGTCATTGAAGTGGAACAAGGCAAAGGGTATTCCTGTCAAGATCAAGGACCGTTCGTGGCATGAATAATTATTGACGTAGAATATAAGGCCACGAAAAAATGCAATTCTACTCTTACCGGTTCACTAAACACAAGTGGAAAATCAAATTTAGGTAGGTCTATGTACAAATATAAATTTTTCGATTTTGAAGACTCTCTCTGAAAAAAAAAAAAGTGCCAATAGATGGTGAATATCGGGTCCTGATAAGACAGAATCATTAAGTTTCACACCTTATTAATCTTCTCTATTTGACGGAAAGCGAGATTATCGAGCCATTCTAGTTTAGCCATATCGCTCTTATCATGTTGTTTGACTAACTGGATGGAAAAAAAGGTAAAAAAGTTTTAAACTCCAAAGGATGATAGCGTGACTTGATAAGAAAAAAAAGTAAAGGAATCGACCGATCATACTTTCTCCAGTCGGTCCATCTCATTTTTTGCACCAACTTTGCTGGGAGTGGTTGTGTGTTCACGACCGTCGGATTCAACATTCGGCCAAAGATAACATTTGTGCTTCCCTCTTCTTAGGGTGCTGTATAATTATATCATCGGAAGTTATTGTAAGGTAAGGTTCTGTGATTAACCCACGAATTCTCGAGCTCCTTCTTACTTGTTCTTTCCAAAAAGTCGAAAAGTTGTGCCGCCTACCGGGATTGCTTTACGCGGACCGTACACGTCATACACAGTTAAAGCTAATTGTGCGGTAACAGGAAGATCACGATATTTCAAAGGAATTGTGAGCCATTCGTTCCAACTTTTATCAACCCCGTGGCACAACATAATCCATGATTAAATTCTGTTAAGCAGTGAGTGATTACAATATTGGCAGAGTGTACTCGAAATTCTAACCTCCAGTGATTCTTAAATGACTTATATGATGTCCTTACTGGAATAGCGAGCGGCTTATTATCTCCATATATCTGACAGCTTACATATAGATCCGAGAAATCGCTGGTGAAAAATGAGAGTTAGTCACACAACTGTAAATGAGTCAAATTACAAAATTCACCTTGATTTACCTTGTTTGTACGCCGGTATATTTGAGGGAAGAATCTTCGAGCAGAGAGGTAAAGGATTTTTTTTCACGAGTTCCTTCGAGACTTGAGCTTTGGTTTTTTAAAATTTACGTTATTAAATTTTTATTATTGTTTTAAAAATTCGTGTTTTTAATGAAATAAAAGCCTACATTCGCACGGCTAACGGAAGATCCAAATCTTTGGTTAGACAAAAGGAATATAGGAAATCTTTGCTTTGAGAACCATAATCCATCGTATAATATTAAGACCGCGTATGCTCAAACCAAAACGAATTCTCAACTATTTTCTCGACTAAAAAATTACTAGTTACACGATGATTTAATAGAATTGTTACATTGTTACGTAATTAATTACATAAAGCATCTGAACCCTGTGTAAGCATTGATGACATGCAACTTCCATTTGTTGTATAACAATGCAAAAAAGACACGTTCAAGTTCGCTGCAAAAATGTCTTCTAACTGGAAAACCGTAAACAAAATGCTGGAGCTCCCTCCTTTCCTAATAAAAGACAAAATGCACTCGTACTTGGACTTTCAGGCCTTTTGCAAGGCAAATCCTCTTCCGATCAGATCTCTTTCAATTCCCGACAATAAGAATCCATCGGTATCATATTCAGGTTCCGGCAATGGAGATACTGAACAAGAAACCATTTATTCCACAAAGTTTCCTCATTCCCCCGAGATACTTCCAAAATTTGATATTAACTTTGCCACGCGAGGTTACTTAGACTATCCCCGCGGATTGTTGCCTTCGCAATTCCATTGTCAAGAGCATATCATGGTGGAACCGAAAGGTAAACCTCACAAAGAGCACATCAGAACTCGAATGAATAAGAAGCCCGGTATACCGGTCGCCGTAATAGATATCAAACCATCTATCGTCCCCGCACATTTGCTGGGAAATGGATATGGTAGGTTGGTGGATCAGAATTCTCTCAAGACTCGAAAAGATCCAGAAACCAGCAGTGACGGTGGCTCGTGTTATCGGACAGAAAAGGAAGAGGGGGAAATAAACCACGAAGGTAATTGTGGCGCATATGCTGTTGATCTTACTAATGCGTGGTGACCGATAGTTAATCCGATTTAAATTCATTCAGATTTAGTCTCCGCTGCAATGCACTCGAAATCTTTGAAAAAAAAACGTAAACTGTCGGAAAATCGCATTGCCTATCTAAAAAGGAATAAAGCCCGGTATAAGACACGAAAAAGACGCGAGAAGAGGTTGGCAATGAATGGTAATGCAAAAATAGATGTTGATGGAATGTTAGCATTCGCCACCTTTGAAAAACATGAATGTTGAAATCTATTGGATTTCCGGCCGCAGATTTTATTATTGTTATGATTGTTAGTGTTATTATTTATTTCAGGTTTATCTAAACTTGATCAATTTTATTTAAAATGATCTTTTCGGAAGGAGATGAAAGGCACGTGCGAACTAGAACTCCATTGTCCTCTCATATGAAACATTAAGAATAATTGAGCAAATGGTTCATGACCATCGCATGCATCACTTCAAATATCAAACCCCTCGACCAAATATTCGATCATTTTTAATTCATTTACTTCTATCGCATTCGTTGGTAATTCCTCGTAAATATGGTGAATCACGGCAACGTGATTCTTCACTTGTTGAATCATGTCCACTTGTGAAAGTTTACAGATCTTGCATTGGAAGACTGGATACCGATCAAACCGGTGAGCAATAGCTCCGGCTAGTGTAAACGCGTTTCCTGGTCGTTGATTTGCAGAGCACACCTGGGAAATGTTGATGGCTTCGTAACGAATCGCTTGGATCACATCACTTAAAAATTGCGGAGAATAAATCATCCATAAATTTTGTTCGGATGGGGGAGCTTTGAACGTGTTACACATAGGGAGAAACTCGAAAATTGGCTCGTCGGTCCTAATTCCATATGTCCCTTGTGGCGTGTTGCTTGTCAAAGTATATTGGCGCAAACCATTCAATATTTCTCGGCGCTTGGATTTAATTGCGGGGCCCAAAATATTATCAATCGGAAAAACTGATGAATTCACTTGGTTGAATTGCCCAGGTACACCCGCCGGTGATGGATCCACCGTTGGACTCAAGGTATTAGACGTCGTGGCAGTCGCGGGTACATCCGGTGGCGCAAGTTCGGTATTACTGGGAATTTCTTTTTGTGTCTGGGGCGTTGTTTTGCTGGTCGCGAGTAAATGATCCTTTTCTTTATTTCGAGGAGAATCGGTTGCATTCTTTTCCTTGGCTTTTGCCTTCTTATTTTTGAATTTGAGTTTTTTCTTTTTTTGCCTTAATTTGCTCTCGGCTTTTTTTTTCTTCTCCTTCGCTGGGGCAAACTTTTTAGAAGGCCCCTGGCGTAATTGTGGCTCCAAATGATTTGTCGTGGATACAGCTGCTTTCTTCAATGATGATGGCGCACTCAAATTCACTCGATCGTACGTCTTAATAGACAATGGATCTACACTTTTGATGTTATTCCCGCTCTCCACTCGCTCCTTTTGATAAAATATAGAGAATGTCGTTCTAGATAACATACGATGTCGCTCAAGTGCATCCTTTATTAACCTATTTAAAAATGCCTTCCTGGCTTCTATCCACTTAGCTACAAGCCTCGTGTTACCCTTAAGACTAGTGTATTTTTTTGATAAATAGAGAAGATGAGGAATCCAATAGTGAGCCTCTCCATCCCTAAATTCGTGTTCATAAGAGATGCAAGGTGTAAGCTTTAAAATCTTCTGGCTAATTTTCCAGTAATTAATATCGCCACCGCTAGATAAATGAAATTACCACATTAGTTCCTGCAACCAATTCTCTCCAAAATATGATAGGCATTGTTACCTGACGGAGTTTTCCTCCAAGCATTCATCGCATATTCTCACCCGGGGAATCCAATAGATTTTCACACGTTTATCAGTCCTGCGACAGCATTGACATGTGTCGACAGAACTAAAAAGCTTTGCGTATTCGCGCTCCGACAATCCCTCGGGAGGATCTGTATATAATATCGTTGTGAATTTATATCTTGCGCTGCGCCAAATGTCGTTAGAATTCTCAGGATTACTCAAGAATTCACTGATCGGTTTATTGGTACAGCAAAGGGCAGTGATGTCTTTATATTCCAAATGTTGACATATTTGTTGAGCGCATTTGATGAAAGTCTTGACAAACAAATTTTCTGTAAAAAAAGAATATTGCTTAGCCGTAAAAATTAAGATATGTAGAATAAATGTAAACCAAATTTTTGATACCCATTTTCGAAACGGAAAGAAAATTATTTTGTCACCTGATTTTGCGATACGATATACTGTATATATATATATTTTTTTTGAGAAAATTATTGTCAGTTCAAATTAAACTAAGTACGCTAAGTTCATTCTAGAGGCAATGTTTTACTCCGATTCTTGCACTTAGGTCTCTGAGTTATTACTATAGTCCACTTACTATGTTTTATTATTGTTTTCTTTTATCAAATGAATAATTTTGATTGGTTGTTATTGTAAATCATATAATAATTAATAATATTTAACAATAATAAAACCTTAAAAATTTTTTATAAAAAAATATGAGAAATAGAATAATCATTAAGACATAACATATGTAAATTTTATAATTTTTGATTGCACAATTAAAGATTTAAAAATTGTCAAAGTTGAAATTTATAATAAAAACATAGTAAGTGGATTTAACATTTTGAAAATAATCATCTAAATTATTAAATTATAAGTATTAAAAAAAAAAAAGAACAAATATAAAATTAAAAGGAAAATTTTTCAAAAGGTTTTTTACTATATTCATTAACATCATATTCTTGAATCTAAAAAAAACTTATTTCTTTATTAGTATATAAATTTATTTATCTTATCTTTACTATATTATAAAAGATTTTGTCTAATAAAAAGTCTATTTTCTAAGAATTTTGTTTAACTGAAGTAAGAAAAATAAAAGAATTTTAATTCTTTCTAATTAAGTTTTATTATTTAAAAATTTAAGTATTAAAAAATATTTTAATAAATATATCAATTATTAAATTTTAATATTATAAATTTTTTTTATAAATAAAACTTATTTAATTAAAAGAGAAATATTTTTAAAAAAATTTTTTTAATTATTATTAATATTATAAAAATATATAATTATTTAAAAATTTTAAATTCAACTTAAATAAATAAAATATTTTAAAAGAAAAATCTCTAAGGAAATAAAAATAATTAATAAAAAAAAATTCTTTTATTATAAAAAATATTTATAATAATTTAATTTTTTTTTATTTATTTTTAAATTATTAATAATATTAGAAATAAGTTTTATTTTTTTATTTATTTTTTTTTTTAAAGTCCAACTAATAGGACGAATTTTTATTGAGGAATCAGTAGTACATTTTTAGATTACATGAGCAATTTATATAACCCTATTTTAATTACCTATCCTAGCTAGATCCACCAATTTTACCACATAGTGATACCATTTTCATCAGTTGCCCTACTCTGCCTGGAACTATTAGCGTACCGAAGTTCCGCTATGGACTTTTTTTTTTTTTATTGATCTTCAAGGGGCTGTGTTATGTATTCCTTAGTAGAGTCTTGTTTACCGCTTGATGATCGTGAGTACCATGGATGATTTCTGCCATGTTTGGATCCTTCGCAGGCTAGATAAAACTTAGATGGTGCAAATCTTCGGTCATGTTCTTGACATTCAGGTGATTCAATGGTGTCATGTAATTGGGTGGCATATAGCCTTCCATTATCTCATTTTTAACCACTCTTGCAAGTTGGCCTTACAGGAGTTTTTCTTGATTACTTCGTAATGGATTGCTCCTCCCATTGAATTGATTACCTTGGTGATTGTTTCCGAATTTCTTCTCTCAGGGTCTGCTCCTGCAGGTTTTCCAACGTGGCACTAACACTAATCCCCAGCCTCCATAATAACTGTCCTCTTTTGGGTAGCTGTTGATTTCGTGATCATAGAGATCTTCTATTAATTATTGTTACGGTCTGTTACATTTTCGACAGGTACAAACGACTGAAGTCTCCTTTATCTCCCAAAGTATGTAGTTTTAACAAAAGGTGGATATCCTTTCCATATTCATTAAGAGGCTTAAGCTGATCAGCATTTTTCCTTGGCTTGTCTTGGATCCTTACATATTCCAGGTGGCAGATTTTTATCAGAGATTTCCTTAACACTAAAACTGGCCAAGGCATGGATGACCTGAATTTTTATACTGTGGTCGGACGATAGAAATCTATAGACTATTTGTGAATACAAAGGTGCATGTAGTGATGAGCATGCATCTTGTACAATGTAATCTATATTGCGAGAAACTGTTCCTAAGTAGGATTGAACCAGTAACTCGTGGATGGTGACCTAGGAGAGCACCCACTGTACTAATGATTCACAGGTCTATATAAATTTTATTAATATTAAATTTATGCATTATATTAATTATTTTATATATACTATATTATTACATACATATAGATTAATTTTTTTTTTTTAAACCGCAACTGGTATTAGATGCGAGCTTTATTAAGAATTAACTTAACATTTGGTGGATAACTAAATCCGTAATGTGATATCAATCATCTCATACAAACTATATATTTCTATATACATGCAGATTAATGATAACCTATCGCGGTTTGTTCTAGTTAAACCAGCTACCACTCCTTAAGTGGGCAGACCTAACTAGGGGCCGGATAATTAATATACAGTTATCAATAGCGTGGCTAGGCTAGTTAATATTGAGCTTGTTAATTTTTGTGTTTTATTATTGTTTCACTAAGCTAGTCCTTTTCGTGTATACCCGACGGGATATTTTATATCCTTCAATATTCCCAGATATTATTCGCTCAGACCTCGGAAGGGGCACGTTACCTTCTTTGTCACCACCTGTAGCATCAGATCAGTCCTTATTAACTGATTTTCAATTAAGCGGAGCACCAGATTGGGATATCCTGATCTAGGAGAACGGGGGTTCTGGAGATTGTCAGGGCAAGGGGTCTTGGGGACATCTGTGGTAGGCTAGACCAGAAGTCTTTCTTCATGCAATCCTTCCAGTAGTATGACCATAAATCTCAGCCTCTGATCGACGGAAGGCCAGAAGTCCCATCTTCCTGCAGCCTAACCTGATTGAATCTTGTTCCGAATGATTGGATACGACTTTCACAGGATAACTGGTAGAACCTAATTAGAAGATAATTTTCGATTTTTTGGCTCTTAAGTGGTATTGAACTATGGACCTTGTGATTGCGACCTGGGAGTACTACCACTGTGCTATTGACCCACAGGTCTACTTATAGATTAATTTTTTTTTTAATGCTTTATTAAATTAATTATATATAATTTATTAAATTTTTTAGTAAACTATATATTATTATATATCATTAAAATTGGATTTTTAATTGACTTATTTGTCTTAATTAATATTAATTTTAAATATAACTTTGAAATAATTTATTACTTTATTATTAGTTTGAATAAAAACTTTTTCAATTATTAATATTATTATTTATAAGTTATCATTGTAACATCGGTCAAAATTATATCATTTAATGATTAAATTTGATTAAATTTAATAATAAAAATATTGACAAATCATTTTTGATTTTTATTACTTAATATTAAAATATTAACAAAAAATTAATAAATAAATTTCAAAATATTGTAACAAAAAATTCAAATCAAAATTTAGTAAAAAATTTATAATATTGTAAAAAAATTTTTAATATTTTATATAAAAAATTTGTATATTATAATAAAAAAATTTTTATATATTGTAGCAAAAAATTAGACAAAAAATTGATATTGTAACAAAAATTACAAATTTAATATTAAAATCCAATAAGTATTTAAGAAATTTATTAAAACTTATGGATTAATAGTATAGTGATTAGCATTCCATAGGTCAAATCACAAGATATAGGTTCAAATCCTATAGAGAATTAATGTGATTCCCCTAAACTGAAAGCAGATAGAATCTGGTAAATTATTTATTAGTCTAACTATATATAACTAATGTTTCCAAGTATAGCTGATGCAAATCAAAATAATTAATGATTTTTATTGTATTATATTAAAAATTAAAATTCCCATAACACAGGAAGGTCTATATAAAAATTGTGATCAGGTCTCTATCCAAAATCAAGTAGGATTATCTTTGATAGGACCATATTACCATTTATTAGTAATAAAAAGAATAAATCCCTAAACTGATTGCATATCATTGAGGAAAGACTGACTGAAGATCTTATCTAATTTCAGGACTTCAAGCATATGGTTATGCCTTGACTTATAAACTTAACAATTGGAAGATCTTGGTGAGAGAAGAAATCTGTTGACCACTCTAAAGAATCAAAATCTGGGTCCAGGATAAAGAAAATTTGATAACTTAATAATCAGACTACTCTTAATAAAAATGGTTTAGGAAAAATTATGAAGAAATTGTATAGTTTTCCGATAAGATAATGCTTATACATAATTAGTAAATATTTAGATAGCTACCTATATATATAGATTACTAATATAAGTAGATATATAAGTACTTATTAGTATATACTCTATCTATCTGTACAAAAGAGTAATATAAGTGGTTGAATCAAGGCAGTTGTCTTATATAGTATGAATATATTGATATATTATTAATAAAAATTGTGATAATGAATTTATAATACAATGAATAATAGATATGATAGACAACTTTTATATTCTCAAAATTTATTTTAGCATTAGTTTAGTCTTGACAGGTTAGCTTCTACTAAAAGAATGGCAACAAGTCATAAAGTGAGTTCCTCCTAAGAGAGATTATCTTTATTAAGTTTTGTTTGATAGTAAACTAATAATATATCTTAGAAAAATTCAATATAATATTATTATATAAATATAAATAAAATAAGATTGAGCCAGTATTATAAAAAAAAAAAAAAAAATTTAAGAAATTTATCAAATTTTATGAAATTTAATAAAAAATTACAAAAAAATTAATTGACTAAACTATTTGTTACTTTTTTTTTTCTCTTTTTTCTCTTTTATATATAGTTGCTTTCAAAAGTTTGAGTCCACTTACTATGTTTTTATTATAAATTTCAACTTTGGCAATTTTTAAATCTTTAATTATACAATCAAAAATTAT